TCACCAAGCAGCAAGAGGAAGGGGTGCCTGAAAACATGTTCAACAGAAACAACACTGGGTGTTATTTATCAGCTCGTACCTGTCCACACCAAGCTGGCTGCTTCTGGGAAGCTCAGAAGTTCTTGAATATTCATTGATCCATCCACATATCCACATATCCATCCACCTATTCATCCACAGAACCATCCATCCACCCACCCACATATCCACCCAGCCATCCACATATACACTCATCTACCCACGCATCTCCCCCTCCACCAAACACAGCTGAACCCTGAACTTCTGCTGCCTGGTTCTCAGGAACTCCTGACCAGTTGCCATGGGACCTAGATAAGTGGACCAATAAATGCAGAATCATTGCCTGTTGCTATATGCTGCTTTGTAGCTTGAAACAACGAGCCTGTATCCCTTCCTGTGGCACCTGAGGTTTGGCAGTCTGGGAGAAGCCAAGCTAGGTGAGTCTAGCTCCAACTTTCTCAGGAAGTTGTAGTTAAGGTGTCACTTGGGATTGGAGATCTGGCTCCCAAAAGGCTTAAGTCTTCCCAATTCATCTTCACAGGGGTCTCTCCTCAGAGATGCTCCAATGCCCCCTCAACATAACAGCTGGCTTCCCCCAGAGCTGGTGATCTAAGGAATTCAGGAAGCTGTCTCCCTCTTTGACCTTTCCCTGAAGTCACACACTGTCACTTTTCCTTCTAATAACTAGAAATTCCTTAGACATGAGTCACTAAATCCAGACAAAGGAGTGGGTCACACCTTGGAAGTAAAGAGTTTCAAAGAACTTTGCATCTACTTTCTCACCAGCACGTGTGTGGAATCTTCCTGGGCTGAGAGAGTAGCATGCGGGATATGGGGAGGTAAGAGGCAGAAGTGGTCACTTCTATCAAGGATGGTTGAAGAAGCCAGGGAAGGAGTGGTACAGAGGCAGCAAAGAATGAGTTAGGTGCTGTTATGCCTTATATCTTGATATCTCCCCTATACCTCATGCTCTTCTAGGTGGGGTTTTTGGTAGTGACTCAATCATGGGTGTGTGATTTCTAGGTCATGGACATGTAATACTGGATTAGCATAGTTCCGGATGTGGAAGAAGGGTTTACCAAAGAGAGAAGAGCCATCTTGGGTGTGGGTGATACCAAACAATAGATTTGTGGATAGAATAAAAAGTGAAAGCAGAAGGAAGGCTGTTGCTCCCTGCCTGCCATGCCATGGGCTGTTTCTCCTCTGCCATGCTGCCCTGCCTCAGAGCCAGCTGACTGTGAACTGTAAGCTAAAATAAACCTTTCTTCCTTTAATGTGTAGGCATTGGGTATTTTGTCCCAGCAATGACAAAGCAACTAAGAAGATGCAGTGGTGGACACCTGTATCTCCAGCACTCTTTGAAGCCAAGGCAGAAGGATTTCAAAGTCAAGCCCAGCCTGGGCAACACAGTGATTTAGTGAGACCTGTCTCAAAAAAAAAAAAAAATTTTTTTTAAAGGGCTGTAGATATAGCTCACATAGGGCCTTGGGTTTAATCTCTGGTACCTGGGAGAAAAAGGAATTAACAAGTTTTATCCCTGATCTATGATGCAATTCCCTGTATTGTGAACATAAATCAAGTCCACTCGAGTGAAATGGGCAGGAGGAGGGAGTTCTGTAAGGAAGGAAGGAGGCTGAAGCTGGCAGGCCCCGAGGCTGGGCACTGAGCACGGAAAGCTGAAGGAGAGTGAGTAGGAGCAGGGGAATCTTCTGTATAGGTTGGGAACGTGATGGACTTTCTGGCTGGCTCTGAGTTGGATGCAGGGGCAGATAATCGGGAGGCTGTGATGACTGACCAAGTCCTGCTGCTCAGGGCCCCCTCAGCAGGGGTGGTGGTCTGATTTTCTGGGCCGATAGCTGAGCGACTGAGTCTGCTTTCTGTTTGCAGTGCCTGTTCGTACGGCTAGGTCCTCCGTGTCCTCCAAGAGTGTCCCTGTGGGGTGGTCTTCTAGTTCTGGGCCACCCATAGCATCCCAAGGATCTGAGTCTTCAAGGTAAAAGGTCACCTCAGCTGATTTCCCCAGTGCATAAGGCAGTGCTTGACTCTACATCCAGGTGGCAACCTAGATTCTGATTGATAGCTCTGAAGACAGCCAGCTCGCCCACTGGAGGCAGGCATGCCGCCCACCCACTGTGGTATGGAAGAGTCTGCCAAGATGATTGGAACTTGAGTAGCCCTCACGGGCTGTGCCCATCATCCCTTTCCCCAGGCTGAACCCTTTCTTCCATTTTCCCACAAACAACAGAGGTGAAATGTTGCCTCTGGAAAGCCCTGGGAAATGTGTGCGTAACTCTGGAGGGCAGGGCCAGCGGGGAGTCCAAGCTCTGTCCATGGACAGCCAGCAGGGAGCCACCGACCAGACTAGCAGGGGCTTGGGGATCACAGGTTAGATGCAGGATGGGTCGGCTCCAGCAGGGACTGGGATTAGGAAATAGCTGCCATCATCATAGCTGTAGGTGAAAGCATTCTGGGAGGGGGGTGCCATTGTCACATGGCCAGTCCTTCTGGGACTTGGGTCTCCTCCGTGGTCACCATCACCTTGGAGAGGACAGGGCAGGGCCACTCTTCCAGGATCCCCAACACCTGCAAGGACTCTACAGTCTCCCACCTCTGTGCCCACATGGGACCCCATGAGTTGGCTTCTGAATGTCATAGGGCTCCTATGCTCTCAGGCCCCTGCAGCACCTCAGACAGGCCTGGGGCTTGGATAGCAAAGGACCTGGGTTCAAATCCTGACACAGACATGGGCCAGTGGTGAGGCTTCCAGTGCCTGTGAGCAGAGAGCCCGTGGCTGTTCTGGAAGGAATGAAGGGATGGGTCCTGGTGGCTGAGTACACCGAGTGAAGAGCCCGAAAGTACAGAATTCTTTGCAGAATTAAAGTTCATGCACAGGAGCAGGGTGAGGTGCTGCACATCTGCAATCCCAGCACTCTTGGGGGCTGAGGCAAATGAATTGCAAGTTTGAGGCAGCCTAGTCAACTTCGCGAGAATCTGTTTTAAATTTTTAAAAATAAAAAGGGCTGAAGATGGTAAGTAGCTCAGTGGGAAGGCCTTAGGTTCCAACCTGAGTACTGAAAAAGATGTCCAGGAGGGGGCGCTCTCCTGGCTCCACCAAGTGCAAGCTGCGAATAAGTCACTTCATTCTGTACCTCAGCTTTTCCATCCTTGGAGCAGGGCTGAGTGCAGCCTGTGGAGGGGTTAATTTTATTAGTCAGCTCAACCATACCGAGGGGTGCCTAGGAGCAAGGTAAACATTCTGTCTGGGGTGTCTGGGGCAGGGGGTCCCCAGGGGAGAGCCCCACTGCACTGGCTTCTGTGGCCCAGTGAGCAGATGGCCACCCCAGCGTGGTGGGCATTGTCCAGTCTGTCCAGGGCCTGAATAGAACAAAAAGGGTTTGAACTCTTTGTTCTGGATCTCACTTTGGACAGTTCCTTTAAATGACACCATTTGACAGAATGGCAGAAAGCAAGGAAAGGAGTGATTCGCCAGCATTCACTTGGTCTCTGTTAATTAATATTTAAGGTAATATTAATTTGGCTTATTTTTAAATTAATTAACTTAATATTCTAGGACATGTTAATGAATTAACATTAATTGAATTTCATTCATTACTACTGAAAAGAAACCCTGTAGTTGTCTCATGAATGGCCCCCCTTACACAGCAGTGAGCTTGGTGGGTTAAAAGTGTTCTATTAAACACAGGATTCAGAACACCACTGTTTATGCACCTCTGATGTAGGATGTGTTTTTTAAAAAATCTGTTCAAGTGGGAACTTCATAAAATGGACATTTTGCAGAAGAGACTTGGCAAGAAGTCTACTAGGGACTCAGTTCCATGACAAGAAAAACTAAGGCAGAGGCCAGAGGTGTAGGCAGGGCCAACCCCCAGGAATGTAGGAAATATTCATTCATTCATTCATTGAGAATTTCTTTACTGAGCACTTAATGTGTGTGGGGAGGCCCTGTTCTAGGCCCCAGGATGGAGTATTGAGCAAGAATCTGAGTCAATGGACAGATATAGCTGTACTTAATAAAACTTTATTTACACAAATGAGTGGTAGGCTGTGGTCTACTGACCACTGACCTAGGGGGAAAGAATGCCAAGAAGAGGGAGTAGCAAGTACAAAGGCTCTGGGGCAGAGTGTACCTAGCATCTGAGCAGAAGCAAGTGGAAAGGTGTGGCTGGAGAGGGGGATTACTGGAGGCTTCCTCTCCTCCTCCTTTTCAGAAACACCTGCCTCCTAGGACCCCTCCACTCTATCCCAACCCAGCCAAAGCAGTGCCCACCTACCCTTCAGCCTGCTGGGGGCGGTCGGTCTCCATTGAGTTTATCCTCCAGGACTACTATTTGTCATTTGATAAGCATGGTCACCACCAGCACCTTGAAGGACACAATGACTTTGCCCTTGGGATTGGTTGTGGTCAGGCCCTTCAGCAGACTATTTGGGGCTCCTTGTTCTGTCTCCTACCCCTTAGACAGTCTTACAGCCTGGCCAGACCTAGCTCATCCTTGTGACCCATCTTTGTCGCAATGACCCCAGCAAACCCAGAAGAGTGACCAGAATTAGTACCATTTTGCAAAAGGAGTCCCTTTTACCACTTTTCCTGTACTGGGGGTTGAACCCAGGGCTTTGTACTGAGCCACATTAAGGAATATGAGGCTGCATAAGCCTCTTCCCTTCTCTGAGGTTCTGTTCTTCTGATTAAACTATCAGGGGCAGGAGTACGAGAACACCAGTCTTGGTGTCCCATGATCTTACACTGGATTCAGGACACCAGGTACATCTGCATGCACTCAGGGTAGACATCACTAGCTGCTTGGAGCATTCCAAGCCCTGAGCTGGGGGAGGGGCTTGGAATCCTTCTATAACGCACCTGCCAGCCACTGCCAATCGAACCAGAGTTGGCAGTTGAGAATAAACTGACTTTCATTCCTGGCCAGTGCCCTGGTGGAGTGAAGAGATGAGCGGCACGGGAGGACACAGTTGAGGTGACGGGCTTGTGGTGGGTTGGAGGAAGAGGTGCAGGGCAGCAGCGGGAATGTCAGGGGACACAAAGACATACCTGCCATGTCTTTTCTGTCACACCAGCCCCTCTCCTCGGGGAGGAGACGCACCCCCCATGGCTTCACTGCGCAGTCTTTAGATCCATCCTAGCAGAGAAGTGAAGGGGAGGGGAGGCTCAGAATTGCACCAGGAGCCATGTTTGTTTCTTTTTACCACTGATCTTTTAATCCTCATATCACCCTGCTAGTGAACCATGGTTGGCTGCACGGTCAGGGTGAGGAATCAGACCCAGAGCTCCTTGGCCGTGAGAAATCATAAAACAATCACAGTTGGTGTGGGTTGGACTCCAGCTTCACTCCTCGGGGAAGTCATTTAGTCTGAGCCTCAGTGTGCTTGCCTGTAGAGCGGGGATCAGAGAAACACCCACCTCACTGTAAAGGGCTTGGTGCAGACTGAGATTGGGAATGCTATCCAGGGCTTATTAAGAGGCCCGCAGACTATTTAGTGGGCTGCTGGCACAGGTGTCTTCTTCACCTCGCTATTCCCAGCCCCTCCAAGTATTCCCTGCTCACACTGAGTGCTCACTGCATGCTTTGGAACAGAACCAAACCACTGTACATCGCTGACTCCTCACAACAGTCCTATGTGGCTCTCATTCCGATTCCACAGGAGAAATTGAGGCTCAGTGAGATGAGGAGACCAGCACAGTTTAGGGTGGGAAGGGACAGCCACTCTCCACCCAAGCAGTGCCTGGACCCAGGCTCTCCCCGTTCACTTGTCTTTCTGGGAGGCTTCCCTTGCCCCATTTTCTTAACATGCTCCAGCTTTACCCACTCCTTGGTCTGTGAACAGAGGGTATGGAGCAGAAGCAAAAGTAGATGGAACTGATGGAGGAAGAGACAAACCCACAACTACATTCGGGGACCTCGACTTGCTTTTCTCAGCATTGACCGAGCTAAAAGAGAGAAAACTAAGAAGGACGCAGAATTGCTAAATGACATCATGAACCAACAGGCTGTGATTGACATTAAAGGAATGCTCGAGCCAGCAGCAGAGAATTCGACTCTTTCAGGTGCCCAAAGAACATGGGCCAAACAGACCATACTCTGGGTGAAAAAGTCAACCCTAACAAATCTAAAAGATTTAAAATTTTCTAATTATCATGCAGTGAAGCTAGACAAATAATAGCAGAGAGCCTGAAAAGTCCAACATGCTTCTGTATAACCCATGCACCAAAGAGGATATACCTCCAGGAAAGAAAATGGAAGCACAATGTGGCAATTTTATTTTGAGATGCAGCTAACATGGTGCCAAGAGGAAATTTTATAGCCCTAAGATGCCTACATTAACAAAAAACAAGCAAGAAAGTTCTCAATACCTGAAGCCCCTACATCAAGAAGCAAAACAAGAAAAGCAAAGTAAACCCAAAGAAATAAAGGACATAACAAAGATAAAAGTAGAAATCAATGAAATAAAAATAGAGAAAAATCAAAGAAAAAAGATTCTTCAAAATAATAGCTTCCTATCAAGACTGATAAAAAAAGAGAAAATACAGATTATCAAATCAGAAATGAAATATTACATCAATCACTACAGATCTGGCAGACATTAATTAGAAAAAGAAGGGAATGCCACAATTTTATAAACATAAATTTGCCAGTTTAAGAGAAAAGGATCAATTCCTTGAAGGCCAAACACTCATTTTAAATGAAATGAAAAATCTTGACAATCTAATAACTATTTTTAAAAATTGAATTTGTAGTTTACAACCTTCTGAAAAATCTCCAGCCCCAAATGATTTCATTGGAGAATTCTACTAAACATTTAGAAAAGATTGAAAAACCACTCTGCCTAATCGTTTCAAGGAAATGAGAAGAGAGCACTTCCCATTGCATCTTATGAAGCCAGTGTGACTCTGACTCCAGAGGTAAGCAAGAATAACACAAAAAGAGAGCAACAAACAAATACCTCTCACAAACATAAGGAAACACAATAAGAAATAACAAAATATTAGCAAGTAGAAGTCAGCAACCTATAAAAAGAATTATATGGCATGCTGTGAGGGATTTTCAATGGGAATGCAAGGTTGGTTCAATTTTTGAAAAGCAACTAGTGGAATCTATCATAACAGGGTTACAGAAGGAAAGCAGCACCAATGACCATCAACACAATTGACCATTGGCCACAATGTGTCCAAACCAGGGGATGTGATTCAGCCTTGCAAAGGCAGGAATTTCTGTTTCATGACACACCATGGAGGAGCCTTGAAGATAATGACACTAAGTAAAATAAGCCAGACATAAAAGGCCAAATATTGTGTGTTCCACTTACATGAGCTATCTGGAGTAGACAAATAGTGGAATGATAACCAAGACATGGGCAAGTGGGAAAGGGCAAAGCGGAATCACTGTCTACTGGGGACAGAGTTTCGTGGTGTCTCTGAGAGGGACAGTGACTGCACAGCAGTGTGAATGCTCTTAATGCTGCCAAGCTATACACTTGGCAATGGCTAAAGCAGTAAACTGCACAATGTCACACGTCATACAATTTTGTGGGCACACAAAATTGGAAGAGTGTAAATAAGAAAAACCAGGCGATCACATCAATTGGTGTAGAACAGTCAACTGACAGCATTCAAGACAGAAACATACAAGTCAGAAACTTGCAGCAAATTAGGGACAGAGAGGAGCATCCCCAACATGATCACGAGTGTGTGTCAAACCGAACAGCTCTTATCTCACCAGTGAAGAGTTTATTGCTTCCTCCAAGATCTGGAACAAGACTAGGACCTACACTCTCTCGACAGGAGGGTACCAGTAGCCTGCCCTTCCTAAGCCCATAGGATGAATGAAGTTGTCAGGCTGTCCTCTGTCCCAGAAGCTTGTACCCTCAGACACCCTAGCTCTGGCTAGGGACTACAAATAGGGTTCCCTGATTTTATGATCTTCCCTAAGTTATATTAGGAGAAACTGAATCATTTCTGAGTCTGGGACCTTTGTAAGTTACAGTGACTAGTGACACACCTGCCCTACATAAATCTTCATGCATACAACACAGAGGCCAACAGCCGTTAGTGACATCCAGCAGTAAACTGAGGCCCAGAGAGAGTGAGTGTCTGGCCCAAGACACACAACCTGGCAGGGGCACAGGTGAACCATTTTTTCAACAAAGCCAGATTTCTGGTCAGTGATACAAAGATACAGCCAAAATCTCTTTCATATAAGCAGTTGCTTCTCTCCCTACCATTGGACTGAACCCACGGATGTAGGCTCTATGAGGCTATGACCTGTGTGGGGCCTCGCGAGGCCTGTGACTGCTCCTGGGCATAGCCATGAGGGTGTTCAGCCTCTGCCGGTGGGGAGGTTTGGTTCCAGTGGCCTAAGGGGCTCACTGCCCCTGATTCCTCCCATCCCAGTGTTGCCCCTGATTTTGGCTGACAGCACACCACAGGCTGGGTTCGGACCGGCACTGCCACTGTGAAAGTGGGTTGCACAAGTCATCTTGTCACATCTGTGCCCCACGTCCCTAGAGGCACTGCCAAGTCACTCTGTCCCCACGCAGCCTGCATGTGCTTCCTGAGTTGGGCTGGCTTGGATGGCAGGGATGTGCCTGTGACACTAGCATAGCAGAGCCCAGGGAGGGAGCTGACAGCCATCAGCCATGGTCAGGACTGAGGGCTTGGACCTCGCTGCCAGTATCCGGTCCTGGTTCTGTCATCTCCTAACTATGGGACCACAGGCAAGTTTCCTAGCAGAGTTGCACCTCTGCTCAAATCTTTATTAAGAACAGAGCAGTGGCACCCAAGAAGGGCTAGGGGGCTTCTTTCCTGGGTCCTTGGATCAAGTGGAATCTCCCACAAACACTGTCTGGTGTGAGCCGGAAGTCAGAGATGCCCCCTGCCAGGGACTCTGGTCAGGGAGGGAGAGGTCGCCGCCCCCGCTTACTGAATTCCTTGGCTGGAATTCAGAGCTGAGTCAGCTCAGTGGATTTTGCAGAGCTCTGTAGGACCAAGGTGGGCGGATGCCATCAGGCCATGGGCTCCTGGCTTTTAGAAGAGCCATAGCCCTGAAGAAGTGTAGAGACTGTTGCCAAACAATCTCAGCAACACAAGCGCCACTCACCGGCCCTATTCAGTGCCTAGGACATCCGGGTCCTCGAGTCATGCACCAACCTACAATCCAACTCCCTGCTCTCCTGGAGCTCACCTGTGTGGACCTGGGAAAACAATAAAAGAACAGTACAGGGAGCAGCTGTTTTCATTTCATTGGATAAACACTATTCAATGGAATGAGTAAAAAAAATTTTTTTAATGCATGAAATATTATAATAAGAAGCTGCTCTGTGCCAGGTGCTGGTACTGGGTCAGATTACAAAGAGTCTTCTGTGCTTAGCTAAGGAGGAGATTAGACTTCATCTTTGACTCTGTGGACACAGGGATGGGGCAAGATGTCATGAGCATTACCGGGAGTTGGTAGGAGGCTTCATAGAGATGTTTGTCCTGGGTCTTGACAAAGTCCAAGGGCACTGTGTTGGCTGAGTTGGCCCAGAAGTCAAGAGGTTTGACATTTGTCTCTGGGTGTGTCACCCACTGGAAACAGGGGAAATAACTTCCTCTCTGCCCAGACCTGGGAGCAGCCCGAGAGGAGGGGTGTGCAGGGGTTCTGCAGTGCGGCACTATGACTCCTCCTCCTGCCTGTCCACCTGTCTGTGTGGCCTATCAGAAGTTGCTGGGGCTCTCAGTCTGGGAAGCCTCCCAGGCCCTGAGCCAGAAGCTGAGAGTCACCCAGGATTTGGGGATGAGGCCCTCAGAGCTGATGGCCTTGGGCAGCACCTGGTACTAGGGAAGACCTCAAGGAAGCCTTGTGTGTGGTGAGTCCTATGTGGACTTTGCATACAGAATGGTCTTAAGCTCAGGTTCTGCCAGCTATGAGTCATGAAGCCACAAAGGCACCTGTCCTGGGTCAGCTGAGCCCCCTCCAATGGGAGGGCACTGAATGTGGCTCGTGGTACATCGCAGGTCTCCTCGGTTCTCAGTTTTCTTCATTGCATTTTTTCTCCGCTTTCTTTCTCACTTCCTTTCCTCAAAAAGTGCTTGGTGGAAGAGCAGAGCTGTGGAAAGACTTCCTAAGACCGAATTTGACTCCCAAGAAGCCCCCGACCAGGGTGAGCATTCCCACTGGCTGAGAAATGAAATGACCAGAGGGGCTGGGTGAACTGCAGGTGTGGGATCTGGCAGGAAGCAGGTCTGGCGGCCCGGCTGGAGAACATTTCAATGCTCTCTCAATGTCCAGAGAGAGGAAGTTGCATGGCCCAAGCAGGGAGCAGAAGGCTGGGGCGGTGTGGCCAGGCCCAGTGAACGGGGTGTGTGAACCCCCAGCTGTGCACACTGGCCTCGTGCCTCGGTCAGCAGTGAGGGGAGCCCTAACCTGGTGGCCAGGACATCAGGACAGCGATCGCTCCAGCAGAGTGCGCTGAGGGTCTCAGAGCAGAAACAGCGTGGCCAGCCGTCCCAGACAGGGTGGGCGGAGCTGGGCAGCAGAAACACGTGGCCTCCAGATCTCTGGCCGCTTTGGGCAGGGTGACTGTCATCAGCTCTGGGCCATCTTCCCCAGGGGAGGGGCACACAGGCCAGATGGGAAGTGGCTTAGGGTCAGGCCACCCCCCAATGACAGCTGTGTCATGGCCAGGGGCTCCAGTCTGGGGAGGGGACTTTGGAGAGTAGCCCTTGGTGTTTAGGTTGTGGTGCAGAAGTGTGGGTGGGACCTAGAACACCAGCCCTTTGGCTGACCGAGAGGGACAGGAGAAGGCAGCAGAAGAAAAGGGAATAGGAGGGCCAGGAGGAAGGAGAGTCAAGGCAAACAGCAAGGGACATGAGAGGGCCCACCTCGCAGGCTGGCCCTGAAGTCTCACCCATTAGCATTTCCCTCGCCGTTGCAGGCCTCACCTTCCCTCCAGCCAGTGGTGGGCAGGGCCAGCGCTGCCTCTGGGCTCCTTGCTTGCTCTGAGCGAGTGGCCCTGCTTGCAGCCACGCCGGCGTTGGCACGGTGACAGTAGCCAAGTGTGCAAACTTGTGCCATTGTCCCCAGGCCAGGGGGAGCCATGGAGACTGGCTAATATGACACAGGAAAATGTTTGCTGATGGCAATTCTATGGGCTTTGTCCACCTCTTTCTCCATCATGACGACTCGATTTAAGTCCCTAACTGTTTGATTACAAATGCAAGGGGCCGTGCAACGCCAACCTTTTGTCCGGCCACGCTGAATGGGCAATTCAGGCTTTGTGCAGCTCAATTGAGGAAGCAAACATAAAGACAAGATTCCTGAGAGCTCCAGCTCCCTTCCCATGGATATGCCAGCACCCTGTTAGCAAGTCCTTCCCGGCTACCTTTCGCCACACCAGTGCACCTCCCGACCTCACAGGCCCTCCAAGCGCCCGGTCCCTGGGGGATGCTGGAGCAAGAGTGGTGGACAGAGGGGGAGAGAGAGAAGCCAGAGACAGGGAGAGAGCCACTCAACGCTCAAGGACAGCAGGGAAAGCAGCCCGCCCTGGCTTACCAGGTCCGATTGTCTGTCTGCACTGGAGCATGGCAGCTGTAGGCCGGGAGTCTTTCGGGGGAGGTGTGCAAGCTGGTCTGCACTGGGCCAGCTCCTCCTCAGTCCGGGAGATTTTACACTCATGCACACACACATGTGCCAGCACGCGCGGATACACACACGCACACACGCACACACACACGCACACGTACGCACGCACGCATGCACCATCCCCTGGAGAAACCAGAGAACCGAGGTCAAGGGGAGGAGGGGCACGGAGGCCCAAGAGAGTGGGACTGAAGGGTAGAAATTTACCGGGAAATGATTGCATTTGCGAGCTGTCTTTTTTGTGATGGTCCCCATGGTGACAATTTGTGACGGCAAAGAATGTGGGAACGGGGCGCCGCAGCCTGATTGGGATGCTTTGTATCTGGAGAGGAGCTCCTGATTGGCCTGAGGGCCC